ACCCCAAACCCTAAACCCTAAAAGAGAAAGCGGAGGTCGGAGATCCGCCTCGGCGTCCGCCTCGACTCCGAGTCGGAGATCGAGCTCTCCGTGATGAAGATGAAGGCCAGGGCTTTGGGTTTAGGGGGTTGGGGGTTTAGGGTTTAGGGCTTTGGGTTTGGGGGTTTGGGGGTGTAGGGTTTAGGGTTTAGGGGTTTAGGGGTTTAGGGGTTTAGGGTTTAGGGTTTGGGGTTTAGAGGATCTAGGGGTTTAGGGGATCTAGGGGTTTAGGGGTTTAGGGGTTTAGGGGTTCAGGCCAGGGCTGGTTGGGGTAGCAGAAACACTAGGAGGTAGAAGCAAAATAATAAAGGATGAGGAGGAGCAGCGTAGGAGGAAGACGAGGAGGAACAGGAGGAGGAGCAAGAGTCGGAATTGGAGTAGTAGTATTAGTAGTGGTAGTAGTAGTAGTAGTAGTAGTAGTAGTAGTAGTAGTAGTAGTAGTCTTCGTAGTCGTAGTCGTAGTCGTCGTAGTCGTAGTCGTATGTACTGGTACTAGTACTAACCGGTAGTAGTAACCTGGTAGTAGAAGGAGCATGAACATTCATGAACATTGCCAGTGTCGCCATGTCACCATGTCATCTTCCCCTCCTCCTCCTCCTCCTCCTCATCACCGCCATCACCACCATCATCAGAATCATCGTCATCATCATCACCGTCACCACCATCATTTCCATCATCATAGTCATCAGCACCACCATCATCATCACCTTCTTCTTCGTCATCACCACCACCATCCATCATCGTCACGATGATCATCATCTTCATCATCACCACCATCATCATCATCATCAGCATGATGATCATCATCATGATGATCATCATCATCACCAAAACCATCAGCATCATCATCGCCAGCATCATCAGCATCAGCATCAGCATCATCATCATCATCACCATCCTCATCCTCCTCCTCCTCATCATCATCATCATCTTCATCAGCATCCGCATCCGCACCGCATCAGCATCACCATCAGCATCAGCATCAGCGTCGTCGTCATCATCATCATCATCATCATCATCATCAACATCATCATCATCATCATCATGATCGTCATCATCATCACCATCACCATCACCATCACCAT